GGTGGCAAAGAAAAACCAAGCAAGCACGACTCACGTTTTTATCCTCAATGCACTCAGTTTGCAATTATTGTAAAAAGAGTGTGTGCATCCTCCAAATTTTTCATTAGTTCAGCAAAAAAGAACTACTATACTGAAAACACCTATCTAGTTGACCCAGAAATCAATTGGCTACTGACCTTTAAAAAAAAAAAAAAAAGTGTGTGTGTGTGTGTGAAAGAAAAGACAAGCATTTAATCAGAAACAGCTATGCAGGAAAATGTTCATTTTGATGAAAAAGCTATTTTTTATTTAAAAAATTAACATAGAAACATTTCAGCTCTTTCTACCAAAACAGCTACGCTCTGATTTGGGAGACAGGAAACTTGAAAGTGTTTTGCACACACTTCAGCCAGGTCTGAATTCGGTCTTTGAACTTCAAAAAAAGACAAAATAGAGTCCAACAATTTTTCTCCTTTACTTTCGCTTAGGTTCTCTCTGCTTGGCCTCCTTAAATCACAAGGCTAATGTAAATCTTAACTGTAAAATCTTTATTCAAAGTTTCTCCCTCCACAAATGAAAAGTAGCCTAAAAGCAGACAGAATGAATTTTGAAGAAAGCATTTTTCAAAAATTCAGTACCACAAGATTTTAGAGCTGAGTTTCCCCAGAGCGCCCAACGATTAAATAAGCGCCACATTTTAATTAATCCTGTATGCAACGGCCTTCTGCATCTGTCAGATCCGCAGCTCAACTTTCAAACAGATTTAGCATCTGGACGATCCCAATGAAACTTGCCCTTCAAATGCGTTTTTGTGCAGTGATTTCATTTGCCTCAACCTTGGGCGGCCACGCGCCTGGCAGCGCTACTCACGTTCATCACGGAGTTGATCTCGGCGACCGCTTCGTCGTCTGTGGGGAACTGATAGATCTGCACGCCGTTGCTGACCAGCTCGCTCATGATCTTTATCTTGAACTTGTGCAACTCGCTCTTGGAGATGGTGTCCGCTTTGGCAATGATCGGGATGATGTTCACCTGCAGGAGAAGGAAGGGAGGGAAACTGAGCAGGTGAGCAGCTCTGTCAGGAGCACGGGTGCCCATGGGGTGACCCGAGTGCTACCCAGTGGCTGCTTTACATTTCACAAAACCACCAAGGTGCTACGTTTTCCACGCGAGCTGCAGCACAAGCCCAGCTGAACACTAGAGGGAAGAGTTTTCCAAGACTGATTTGGCTACAAGACTTCCAGGCAGACCAGACAAACACCCTGCAATAAATACACAAGGAGCAGATCAAAGCCTCTGCTCTTGCCTATGTATTTTGTTACACGCTTCGAGGGAGGCAGCGACAGCGGAACTGTCACACCTCGAGTTATCACCTTCCCACCGCTGGCTGCGCTGACAAGCCGTTTTAGAAGACAAGCGCGAGGATGAAACGCTGCAGCGAGCTGACGGATGCGAACCCTTCCCGGGCCTCGGCAGGAAGAGCAGGGACTCCTCAGGGGCTTTCACAGCGGCCATGGACCCTTCCCGGGGACTCCCCGAGCCTCTCCACGAGGACCCCGACTCGGGCGCGCTGGGCGGAGGACACGGACCGCCTGGGCGAGGCGCAGGGCGCCACACGGCAGGTTTGGGTTCAGGCTGTGGCGGCTCAGCTTTGGTTTCGCAGCAGTTGTCGCCACGCACAACACCCCGCGCAGCTTCAGCGGCCCAGGCTTCAAAGGCACCCACAAGCTGCAGGGTGGGGAGGTCCTCCCCGTGCCCCATACCTACCCAGATCGAGAGCAAACGAGGGCCACATCCCCCGTCCTTCAGGACAGACGTGGCTCGCTACGGCCTCGTGCTTGTGAGAGCTACAGCAGGGCAGGACCTGACACAAGAACCTCTATTAGATAATGCTGCTATGGCCAGAAAAGCCAAGTGTGATACTGCAAACCACTGCTAAAACAAACCACAACGAAACTCGTCTCTCTGAACGGCAGCCAAATTCATAGCAGTAAAACACAAGAACTAGGGGAAGGTCTGATTTGCCATCTAACATTTCCAAACAGCCAACGCTTTTTGTCCCACAAAGCAGAAATTCAGAGCAGCCACTTGGTCTCCAACGGGTGCCCATTAAAATAAACGACCTTCTTTCCCAGCTCAAGTTCTCTTAGTAGCTCGGTGTTTTTTTCCACACTTCTCGGTGGTTTTCCCCCACCCTCTGGTTCAGCACTCACTAAATACAAGAGCATTTACTCGCTCCAGAAGAAAACAGTCTTAATTTGCTCACTGCAGATTTATCTGAGAGGATAAATTCCTTCTTTTTCTCAGCCGCTGATCTGGCCTCTTTTTACCAAGGACCACACACCTACACGGAACGAGGTCTGCTGCTCACTCCACTCCTCTGCAGGTCCGTGTCCTCATTACACAGGTAAAAAGGGCCACGACCACAGCTGGGTGCCTCACTGACCTGCTGAGAGCCGAGCAGGCTTGGATCCACCATCTCCCACAGAAAAAGGGTCACCTCAGGGCTCACGTACCACCCGCCCAGGAGCGGTATCTGCGAGGGGAAAGGCACTGCTGGGAGCTGCTGCGGGCAGGGCTCCGTGCTCCGTGCTTTCCAGCCAGCCAGGCGCACGGACAAACCAGCACCAGAGGTGATTTCAGTCCACCTGCAGCTGGCCTAAGCAATTCCCCTCTCTTCTTCCAAAAAGTACCAGCTCAGCCCTGCTTACAGCGAGGAGCTCGGCAGGGCTTTCCCAGCAGCAGGAGCAGGCAGGCCCTGTGGTCACACCAGCAGTACCCGAACGAGGTGCAAACCGAGGCTGGGTCAAGCTCTCTCCAGCCAGGTTCCTCCTGCTCTGAAGAGGCAGCTCGGTCAGCACCTGCTGCCACAGTTCAAAACCCAAAAGGGTTTTACAAGTTGTCACATTTCCAGTAATCAATAGCCAACGTCAACACTGTGGAGTCCTGGAAAGGGCATTTGGGTCTATCTCCCTCCTCCTCTCTTCTTCCCTTGTGAGTTCATTAAGCTTTTTAATTATTATTGTTTTTATTTTGATTTCTCGCATGCCTTGGAAACCCGCACACTGGAATCTCATGGTTTACAAGTGATACCCAGGGCACCATACAATTATCTTGCTGTTTTCCTTTCTCTGATTTTGAGCGCTGGCACCTAAAAGCTGTCTAAGTCTAGAATGAGCTCATCCCTTGTAACAATGAGAAAAAGACAGAAAAGTTTGGAAACAAGAAAAAAAAATGAGATACGAGATGCTACCGAACCAAACTACAAGTCTAATCCCGCCCTCCTACAGCACCTTCCACACGATGCGCGCCAAATAAACTGATACACAACTGGCTAGAGCTGTACAACTCCTTCTCCCTCCTGAACAGGTTTTAAAAACCCAATAAAAGGAAGCGATGACAGAAACAAGGTTTCTCTCTCCACTCTTACATAAATAATGTTTACTTGGGGTGGCAGGAAAAATCCCAGAGCAACATTCTGATCTCTCATGGTGGAAGAGCAATATTCTCTATTTAAAGATCTAGTAACAAAATCATGAGGTTAACTACTGGAGCGTCAGCCCACTGAATGTGACAGGGGTGCCATGTCCCCTTGCCTGTCAGTCCATGGGCTGGAAGTCTTTGCTGGAGCTGGAATTACGGCCCGAGGAATCCTGTGCTTCAGACAAGACAGTGAACGCATAGGCACACACATAAAATGCGCCTCCTTCTCAAGTCGTCCTGACCACAGAGTTATTTCTCATCTCCAAAAATAAAACTTCACAGGACTGTGCTGAAATAAGTCAGTTGGTAGAAAATGATTTTTCTAATATAATAAGGCCACAGGCATTTTCACTCTGTGAAATACAGCCGGATTTTTCCCCATCTCCAAATTGTTCCCAAATGCACGTCCCAGTGAAGCCAACGGGCAAATCCTACCTTGGAAACCAAGGAGCAGAGGCACAAACGGGCCCCAAGCGTCCCCACTGGCCAGCAACCCGCCTAGGATGCGTCAGCTCACGAAGGGCAAGCAACTGGCCACGGCTCATAAACAGCACAGGCCGGCTGGAAACCATCCAGGGCCAACAACCAGGGCGCCCCAGGATGCCCACGGCAGCACACAGCTGTGCCACCACTTCCCACGGCAGGGCTGTCATTCATAAATCACATTCTCATCAGATACGATGCAATTTTATTTCTCTTATTTATGTTATTCATTTATCTCCTGCTTTTCCGAGGTTAAACCCAATGGAAAGCCAACCCCTGCAAGGTCACACATGCTTCCCACCTACCAGCCAGTCACATTTCATCTGCCTACAACCAGTTCTGAACACACTCGTAGCTTTCCAGCTGTAATGAAACACCCTAGACAACAGCTGGCCATGAGCTCAGCCACACCAATACTGTGTACTACAGTACAACGGAAGATTTTGTTTACAAAACAGCTTTACCCAGAAGTGATTTTGTAAACTTTAAGCTAAAAAGCAAGATTCATTATTGAAATCCTCACGCAGACTCAAAAGCCTGCCCAGCACTGGATGCCACGCCACTGGTGTGCTAAAGCAAAGGTGGAACGGAGCCAGGTTCCTCCACAACCCTTGTTAAACTAGCCTCAGAGGTTCAGCCAGCAGGGCAGGCAGCAAAGCATGGCCTCCTCCACAGCCTCCACTCTTCAACTGCACAACAGGGGCCACCAGCCACATAAAGCTTCCCGGGAGGAAAGCCAGGTTCAGGTGTGCCCGCGCGGCTGCAGACGCGACTCGGTGCATGCCGCCTCCCTGCCAGCCAGGGTAGCCACTCGCTGCTGCCAGCCCGGAGCAGGCAGAAAGCGGCCTGGGGTGCACTGACACCCCGCGGCCCTCTGCACACGCGCTGGTCCCCGGGCACCATCCGTTCACATGCACTGGGAGAGGGGCACGGCGCTGTCACAGCCCCATCTTTAAGGGGTGCCTGGAAAGCACCCCGGCGTCCTGTGATGACGCCGAAGCAGAACTGCAGTAAACTCCTGACACCCAGAAAAGATCAACGGTCGCTACTCGTTTATTCACTTCCATGTGAGCACTTGTGCGAGGCCATCACACCACGACATCCCAGATGTTCTCAAACTGTGGTAAGAAGGGAGATGAGAGCAAAGGGATAAAATGACTTCAGAGAGGACTATTTAAGCCAAAGTTTAGAAGTACAAAAAGCTTGCGTGCGCACACACTTCCCATCTCTGCACAAGCACAAAGGATTTATTTTGGTACTACCCAAGGACCACATTAAAGGCGGCCACGGGGAGATGCGAAAAGCAGGGAACACAGAAGGAAAGGAAGAGAAAAGCTTTGTGGGACCACCAGCACCAAGGGGAACGGCGCAAAAGCTTTCCTCCAAACATATTTCTGGGAACATGTCATGCTGGCACCACACCAAGAGACTGAAGTTTATTCAGGGAAAGTTTCTGGATTCCTGATGAAGTCAGTGTAACAGCCATCAGGGATACGAACAGCCCACTGCAATGGGAAGCCAGCGCCTGCTCTGGAGCAGGGCCAAGGAGAAACAGGCCAACAGCCCCGGGTGGTGAGGGCAGACAGCGGGGACTCTGCGAGGGGCAACTCCACCCGTCAGGGAAGTCCGATAGAGCTGCAGGGGGACAACAGCCAGAGAAGAGAGCTTTCCCCCAGTGTAACGCAGTGGATGCCCAGTGACCGCAGGGTCCCGCTGCCTTGCCTGCCCCCTCTGCAGACTGATCTGAACGGAACCACCTTGCTGCTAAAATACTGCTCTGAGACAGGAAATTCTTGCAGAGAAAAGAAGAAATGCTGTTGCCACTAGCGACCTCCAAAGCCCCCTGCAGCTCCCTGGAAGCTGCTGGAACGACCGAAAGTGTATCAGAAACCTCCTCCGAGCTGCAGGAATATCAGTGGTAGCCGGTTAATTAACCCACTGCCCCCTAAGGCAGGACAGCTTATGCACAAAGAAACAACCCCCAGCTAGACCCTCTCACGACCCACTTTTAGGATTCCTATGACCTCGACAACTTCTCACCATATTGACATTTTCAGAAGATATTGTGATCTCCTATCCGGGTCCTCTGGCCCTACCAGCAGCGACAGCTCATGCACCTGCTGTGTGCCAGCACACGCAGCTAACGCTTCTCTTCAGCCCTTGTCTCCTCTGTACTGGCCACCACCTTAGGACACCTACAGTTTTGGTGGCTCTCAGCCCCGCTGTCCCTGCTGACAGGTCAGGAGAGCAGAGGTGGCTCTGCAGCCTCCACAGTTCAGCTGCAGGAGCTGCAACACATCCTTACCTGTAAAGAAGAGCTAAAAGATGCAGCTGATGGTTTTGATAAATACGAACTGAGCTGGGTAAGATTCTTACAGTGATGACACTCCAGACTTCACACCGCTAGCTGTAGAACAGGTTTTTCACCTGACATTTTTCAGGAAAGCCGGTGAGAAAAAGAGCACAGGGTCTCAGCAACCCACCAGGGCAGACAAAGTTTTACCAGCGTCCTAAAAACAGCTCAGCTAACAGGAAGGAGTCCAGCACTTACACGGAAGGAACAGAGCCTTCCACATGACAATGAGTACTAACAGCAGCATTGCCACTCCCAGAAAGAGGGACCACGGTCTCCAACTCCTTACCTTGCTATCCAGCTTCTTCATTGTCACCAAGTCCAAGGACTTGAGCGAGTGCCCGGTTGGGGTGATGAAGTACAGGCAGACGTGAATCCTCGTGTCATGATAGTTGAAGAGGGACCGGCGGATTTTCAGCTCTTCTTGCAAATAGTTTTCAAACTGCGTATCAATGTACTCAACTATCGGCCTGTAACTAAAACCATACCATTAGCAAGCCAGATACTGGAGCTCAAAATTAAACAGTTTGAAGGTTTAAGGAGTTCTCCTGGACATACCATGACTTAAAAAGGAGTTACAAGACTCAAACAATCTAGCCTTACAACAGGAAAAGCGTGGTGTTTACACACAGACCTTATAATCCAAAGGTCGCTGGAGTCTCCTGAGGCTGCACTGCAAAGCCTAAGGACAGTGGAGCATGGAGAGACGACTACTGCCACGGATCAAGCTTTGGCCCAGATCTCAGGGCTGAGCCATCTGGCTGTAGCAATGCAACACGACCAAGGAGAGACCTTGGAGTCCCAGAAAGCCTTTACCTGGGGCTTGAGCAAGATGTTTGTGTCATTAAACAAGACACATCCAGAAACACTGATCCCGGCCAGAACAGAGAATTCCCAGCCCTGCACTGAGGACAGCTTGTTAACTGCTCACGCTGCTGGAGGACACCATTCTCTGCTGGAAAGACCTCCTTTGACCTCTCCTTTTGGCTCCTTACCCAACTGCCTCTATACTCAGTCCCCAGAACCAGAGCCACTGCAGGAGCTACTCCATTAACAGAAACACAGACGCCTCCTCTGCAGCGCTGCAAGCAGGACTGCAGGCAGTTCATGCCTAAGCATCAGAGGCAAGCCCAGAAACGCCAAGCAGATGGCACGAGAACCTGCCTTTCATCTTTATTTATCTGATCCCCAAATCCAACCGCATCCACAATCGTTAGCTTCAGGTGGACGTTGCTCTCCTGCAGGTCATAGGTCCGTGGCCGCAAGCGAACTGCACTCTCATAGTGACTGGCTTCCTCCGTCTCAAACGTGGTGTTGAAGAGGGTATTCATTAGCGTGGATTTCCCAATGCCAGTCTCACCTAGGAAGGAGAAATCATCAGCTCACTGCAGCATGAATTTGTCACAGGTACTTCAAAGAACATGAATTACAGAGCAGAACTAAATTATACCGTGAAAGGTTACTGCAAATTGCTTGTGGACGGACATATAATTGTCACAAAAGGCGACTGCATTCTCGAAGGCATCCCAATGCAACGCTAACACAGAGCACTTCAGTCTCATCTCTCCAGCGAGGATCATATAGCACAGCAAAACACATTATCTATCCCCTCTACCCTGACTTTGCCTGAGATCCTGCACCAGAGAAACCGGGGAGAGTAAAGTTTTAGCAGAGTCTTTTGAGTCTTCAGATGAGAAGGAGCAAAACTCAGCTGCTCCTACTGACAAGGGCTGTCTGGGTCAGTGGCTGGCTGGCCCAAACACAGCAACAGCTCCAGGCGACACTGCAGATCAGCAAGAAGCGATGGGTGTTTGGTGTGCCGTGGAGGGGACAGGGAAGCCTGACAATGGGGTTTCCTCTTGTGCCTTTCAGTGAGACTCCTGACTTCAACAGGCTTCTCTACCATTTTCTCACTTTGCTTTACCCTGCCATTAAAGTCTCTGGGGACCTGCCTTTTCTTTTTTGAGAGTGGAGAACCCTGTGAGGAGGGAATCTGGGGGCCCATTTCAGTGCAGAGCAACAGGCAGACAGCTCTGGACCTGTCAGGACAACTTGCCATCAGACTGAAAAACTCTTTTCACAGCAGAAAAGACGCTGGATGAAGGTTTCACGATTTCACTGTGCAGCTGACCTTTGGTCCGCCTGGAAGCCCTAAAGCAGCCTGTCCCTCTAGCACAGCCTCAACCCTGTAGTCCCTCATGTCCCACTGATGACTGCTGAAGGACTGAAGCCCATTCTGCTGTAACCCCTTCCCCCTCCATCCTCACAGCAGCTACACCAGTCAGCTCTGTGGCTCTTTCACTCTCCCCTTGGAAAGGCACAGCAAGCTCCGCACAAGGCACTCGGTGAGCTGCTGAGGTCCGGCTCGGTACATGCAAAGCGGCCAAGACATCCCATCCTGCAGAGGCAGGTCACAGACAGCACGTCTGTGCTTTGAGATGACAGGGCCACTTGTGCAGCAAACAGAACTGGCCAAACTGGGGGAAATGAGCCATGAACTCTTCCGTCACATCAGGCACAAGCTTCCACAGGCCTTCAAATCGCCTCAGCAAGACAGCGGCTGACAGAGAGGGCAAGAGGTGCTGCTCTGCTCTGAAGAGCTACAGTCGCACAGGGAGCACCTTGCAACCCCACTGGTTTCATCTCTTGCTGCTCTTGATTTCTGGAGTTTCCCTTCAGTATTTCTGCTTCCTTCATGGCTGCCCTTTTGCCCCATGATTCCTCACGTCACATCCAGCCGAGGGGAGACAAGATCGCTGTCTAGGGGAAACCAAAATGAAACAAATACCAAAATGCCATATGGCATCATAGGCCAAAGCATGACGATGTTTTCAGAGGCCACGTGCCATGGCATGTTTTTACTGCAGACCTCAGCAGAGTGCTGTCCTAAAGCACTGAAGCAGAGCACTTCTGAGGCACCTTCACCTTCCCAGCAGCAGAAAAAATTCTGCCAACTTGAACCTCTGAGGGAGGGAACACGGAGTCAAGAGCAGAGAATAAAGAATCGTTCTTGGAGAACCAGCAGGGGCAAGATTAGGAGAAGTTTCCCATCTGTAGCCCCTCTGTTCCAACAGCCACTGAAGGACACCTGGGATACATCACAAACCAAGCTCCATCCCCGAATATTTGGCTCACAGGCCATCTGTGAGCCAGAAAGGCTTTGAACTGCTGCTCCTGGTAACTCAACGAGACTCTGATATTTTCCAGATTGGCCTACGAGGGGCCCCATTTAAACTCCGCATTCACTACACCCAGTCCTATTGGCCATGGGAGTGGAGAGAGGCAAAATCCAAGGAAACAGCCTTCCGCTCCCTGCTCATTACCCAGGCAGCCCATTGTGCTACGCCTTCGGCACAGCCAGCCACTGCTTCTACCGAGGGTGGCCCCTCTCGCTGAACCCAGCCACCACCGATGGGGGAGCAAGTTTCTGGTCGAGGGAGGTGCCATGCCGGCTGCCAAGGGGTTTGGGCTTTTTCCTTCTTCAAGCACCACCATAAATACCACATTGTGCTCAAAATAGGGCAGAGGTACATATTGCTTCCTACCAGCTGTGGTTAAGAGTTGTGCAAGGAAGTAAAACCAGCCTGGTGCTCTGGATTAATCTGAAAGGAGGCACATGGAGAACTCACTACTGATGTAAGCCACATTCTCCTGTTCAGTTTCAGGCACAGTTGAGAGCAGGAATAGGCAAACAGGGGTACAGGGTTGGGTTTTTCTTCCTCCCCTGTCCAAAATAAAACCCCCAAAACCCCAAACCAATCATTTTTCCCCAGTGTTCCACAAATGGTGTGGCCAGAGGGGAATGCAGGAGTATCCATTTGGGTGTCCCCAAGAACGACACTAAAGACGTACTGCCCTCTGCTAAGGAACAAATCTACCAAGTTCAATTGTGATTCTAGCCACAATTTTTACTTGTGGTTTGGATACACAAAAGCAGCTTAGCTATGGCACAAGCACCTTGTGAAAGCTGTCGGGGTTGCACTGCACAGCCTACACAGAGCCCTGTTCCCTTTGGGCAGACTGAGGGTCAGGCTCTCTCTGGATGTGTTTCTGCTGGTCTAGCAGGTTACAGTACTTCAGACCTCCTATACAATATAGGAACCAGCCAAAGTAAAAATAATGCCCATCTCACCACTGGAAGGATTTGGTTTCTAGTAGGCTAGCCAGCACCGCCTGCTAGCTCATGTCAGTACCAAAATTAAAAACCAAGAATATAATGAGGTTATTTTAAAGTCAGCCTCTCGCACCTGCTCACAACCTTCAAGATAAATACTTTACAATCAATAAAAACAGGAATACTCCCTCTCCCTTTCCTAGCACGGAGATGGTCAGGCTTCAAGCCCTCTGACTCACCCTGGGAAAGCATCAACCAGGCACAGCTCGGGTACAAACTCTTCCCCCTGGCTGCGGGGCGCAGGCTGGCACTCAGAAACAACCGAGTTAGCACCAGCAGCTCTCAGTTAACACGTGGTGCATCTGACTGCATCTGCTGGGACACCACAGTCCCTGAGAAGCTGCTCATGCCAGCCACCCCAGTTTGCAAATGGAAATACTGAACTTGTCACATACAGCCTTCCTCTAATCCTTCCTATGGCAAAGCTATGGCAGTGGAGGAGATGAGCAATGCCTCGCTGATTACAGAAATTCTTGTGGTTCGACCCACAAGACTCAGCCACCCGGAGCTCCTTGCCACTCTCTGCAGCTTCTGCACCTGCACCAGTAGCTCAGCTCAACGCAGAGCTGGACAGTCCCACACCCCTTTCCTCCCCTCCACACCTCCCCAAAGGCAGAAAGTTGATATATTAAACCTTTTCCCAAAACTGTCTCTAATTTTGGGCAATGAGTCACAACTCAGAAGCATCAAGCTCCGGAGAGGTCACGTCCACTGAAATTAAAATGTATTTTTCGAAAGAGTTAAGCATTTCTGAATGGCTTAAAGTCACTGCTGAGGCCCATGGCACAGCAGGACGCACAAGAAGTCGTGGTCCCAACCTCACCGCGCCGCCAGCTCAGCCCATGTCTGTTTGCAGAGGATGGTGCTCACCCACACAGAGGATGTTGAAGCTGAAGCCTTGTGTGACAGACTTGCTGACCAGCTGGTCGGGGAGACTGTCGAAGCCGACATGGCCCCCCAGGGAAAGGTTCCTCTTCTCTTCATTCTGGTGGGGAGAAGAAGCCAGATTAGCAGAACTGCACTGAGATGGCAAGTCAGAGACACGAGAGGAACCACCGAGCCCAAGAAATCATCACTTTCCCGGGCACTGCAGAGCCACCAACACAAACCCTAACGCTGCCTGCAAGGGTTTATGTTTTGGCACGCCACGGCGCAAACCCTCCGACAGCCACCAAGAACAGAAAAGAGAGGGAAAAGTCCTGATCTTGATGGAGGATTGGGAGAACTAAGCTACCAGGCTACAAAGAAAAGAAAACACTAGCGTGAGCTCAGACCACATGCAGCTGGGAGAGAAAGGGAAATCCACCACCGTGTGTTTTAGCACTCATTTCTCCTCATCATTTTTTATTTTATTTTCTTAAACCCTCCAGCACGGCATTCAGCTCGACAGACTCTGTGTTTTCCCCCAAGTACTTGACCTTTTTTCCTTTGCTACTGCCATAAGCAGCGTGGTTTTGTTCGCTCAGGCGTTCAGGGGTGCTGGTCGTGCAGGCAGGGCGAGGAACCCTCTTGCTTTACCATCTGTGACCACGCAGTTCTCCACCGTTTCTCTGCTGTTTCTGTTCCTGCCTCCCCCATATGCACTTTGTTCTTCCTTCTGTCTCCTCCCTCCCACAGAGGAAGCCTGTGCTGATCACCTCTAGGAAGCTTAAGACAATACACATCCAAGGAGACAACAGGTCTATGCCCTGCACTATACAGACAGGCAGCCCAGATCTGCTATCATTCCAGAGCAGAGGATTCGACAGAAGGGTCATTTCTGTTTCTAGTGGTTAAGAACAGGAGAGTTTGGCTTTGCACAAACATTTCAACAGACGTTGCCACATCTACACAAGTGCACAACACTGTCCAAACCCAGGGACCAGACCATCGTCCCTGCAGCCTCTCCAGTGCTCTTATCCTTCCACAGAGAAGCAAGGACACACAATTTCAGAGCATGATTCATTCACCCTCACGGTTTCTTTGGTAAATGAGTCTGTTTTTCTTAATCACTAGCACCCAGTGGAAGATGGGGATGGAAGAAGTGTCTGCCCTTTGCCTGGCTCTGGTTCTGCTGTCTGTCCCTGACAATTTGGACTTCATGTCGCAGCACTAAGACTGCGAGACAAGAGCACACCCTGAGAAGAGCCGAAGCTGGCTGTCAAACTCCAAATTAACTCAAGAGGAAAACAAAAGGAACGTTGTGATAAGCCTTGCATATCGCTTTATGCCTGCAGTAAGACTGCTAAACAAAACACGAACCTTTGTTCAACTGCATCTCCAGTCAAAGCCTCTCAGCTTTGTAAAATAAGCCATTTAAATCACAAGAACAACTTGTGAACAGCTGAAGCAGCTCCTGTGCCTCACATACAAACCTTCTGGCTCATCCTGGTTAGCATTTGTTACCAACTTTCAGATGATTTTAGCCCAACCCTCTCCCAACGGACACCCTGCACAACTGAATCGCAGCTGGGCTCCCGTGATCAATTGTTTCATCCCACCAGGATCGATCGTGCTCTCTCACTAAGCGGAAATAGCAATCGCTTAAAGTTTTCCTGTGGGAGAAACGGCATCAATTAAGGTTTTAAGGTGGCCAGAAGTTTAGGTGAATTAAAAAGGGCCCTGAAGACATGGAAACCTCCATGTTATACGTTCTTCTGTTCATCTGTCACCACACAGAGATGCTAAAGCTCAGACTAACTCCTCTGCAGGGACAGACCCCAACTGCAGGACGAGTCCGCAGCACACAGGAGTGAAGCAAGTCTGATCCAGGCAGCCCCACGCTGAACTGCAGATCCAGCACAGGACGGTGCAAGCGCACCGGGAAGGGGAACTTGGACACACTTATGCCAGGAAGGAGCTCAGAGTTGTTCAGGTTTGGTTCTCCTCTCAAGGACGAGACTGCCACAAGGCACAGGAAGCCACTGCATGCATCAACAGAACTCGGGGGGGCTTCCTCAGGCTCTCAGCCCTATCCCCTCAACCCCACTTCTCCTCTTCTCCCCTAAGCCACCACCTTAGAGAGCTTCAAATGCCAGTTCCCAGCACTGCAATGCAGTGACAGCCAAGCAAGCCGTTCCCACAGAAAAGTCACCCAGTTTGATGGTCACACTTTGTGTCTTTTCATTTCAAATAATAAAGAAAAACGAGCAAACAAAACCACAAACCCGAAGCCTGGGGTGACATTTTGGAAGGGAAATAAATGAAGGCTGCCGATGGCTACGATTAGGCTGAGAGTGCCCGAGGCTGGGAGGAGGTTTCCAGGCAACAGGCAGCACCACTGCTCAGGATTTTAAAATAGGCTCCAGCTCAGCAAGGCTGCATTGAGAATTCAGTCATCCTTCAGTCGGAGGAAACCCAAATGCGTTCGCACAGGGCTTTCTTTTTCCCTTCTTTTTTTGGCGTTCAGTCGCTGTTCGGTACGGGACAAGAATACACCAGAACACTGCTCGCCATCTCTCAAAGCTGCTAAGCCAGCGAGCCAAACTTCATAGCGAAACGTTTTTGCCAGTGACCTTGAAATGCACAGCTTCCTTTTATTTCTGTAGGCAGTGATAATAATCTGGTTCAAGTCCAAGACGCTGCTGATACCAAAGCAGAAAACCATTTGCTGCGCTTGCAGTGCGTTCAGCTGTCATTCAGCCTCCAAAGGGATTTTGCTGTCGTTGCTGTGTCAGGACAAACAACGACAACAACTGCTGGAAAGTAGTAAGACTAAGAAAAGAAAGAAGGAAGAAAAAAGCTTTTCTCTTGTGTTATTCTTTCCCTCCAATCCATCGAGCTCACAAACTTGACAGTCTTGTGAACACAACCCAATTTTTCTGCTCACTTGTGGCGTTTGGTGTGTTGACCTGGAGAGGAACCTACCCAACACCCCGCTGAGCAACCACCGGCACTTCTTCCCACATCTACCTGCGACCGATTGACAAGTCTCATCCCGACTGACTAATCCTTCTGGCCAGCTCCCGCTCGCTCAAGGTAGCTCAAGGACAGCCTGACACGGTTCACCTGCTAGTAAAGACAAGGTCACACTCCAAATTGAATTCTCTCCAGCAGAAGCAGCCAGCCTGCAATGCTCAGCATAAATAATCAATCCAGAATACAAATGCTGCAATAAATGAGGGCGGCAGTAACGCAGCCATGTGGGGTTTTCTTGGTTTTGTTTTAAACGAAAGCTGAGAATTTCAGTAGGGCTTTTTCCACCTTTGGTGCCCGCGATGCGACTGCATGGCAGGACGGGAGCAGGCAGGTTACGTGGCAGAGCTGGATGGGATCGGCTGTGGCAACAGCCAGGCAGAAACACAGCCCTGCCCTTTCCAGTTGCACTGGTCTCTGCCACGTTCCCGCCCTCTGCAATGCCCGCTGAGAATTAGGTCCCTCACCTCACGGCCTGGAGAGGTAACTCTCCTGCTTCTGACCAGGCAAGACCCCATCCTGTGGCTGCAAATAACCATGAGGCACCAAGTGCTCCTGAAGCCCATGTGATCATTTCACACCATGAGAATTAAGAGTTTGTGATGGCTCCGAGTGTGAACTCCCACCATAAACAGCCACTGCAGCCCTCAACATCACTTCTTGGGCCACTAATGGCATCCTGTGATGGGCAGCTACTAGAGTTTTATTTTGAACACGCTCTTTGAAGATCTTCTGTGCCTTGAGCCGATCTTCAGGGCTTGAAGCAGAGAAACAAGAGGACAATTTGTACTTTGAGTCTGGAATTTCATGGGAAACAAAAGCTTCATCAGAAAGTCAGAGCAGAATTTATTCATTTTCAAAGGCAAAGTCCTTTAAACTTTTCCAAAGGTGCTCTGGCCAAGTCAAGAAGCAGAGCCCATGAGTGCAAACAGGCACACCAACGGCATCTGGGTGCACAGCCACGGGAACAACAGCCATCCCGGAGGGAAATCGATCTTTGGCTCTGGTTTGACAGCTACGTCACAGGACCCTTCTCCTGGCCTGCGGCGGCAAGACAGACGTGCCTTTGGCAGCACAGGCCACCACAGGAACCAAAAAGAAACCTCCAAACATCGTGCTTCAAACCTGCCCCAAGGCACCAGCCACCCCAGCTCCCGGCCACGCTCCGCTGGCGGCTGGGGACGCACCGGGGATGCAGGACGGCCCGCTGGCCCATTCCCATGGTTGCATGGAGCTGCCCAGGGAACCGAAACCAGCACTGCAAACCCACACCAGCCTCCTCAGCTCATCCACAGCAGGGTCCCACAAACCGTGCCGTGCAGTGGGGCCGGGAGGAAGCAGGGAGCAGCGACACTGCGGGCAGCTGCCCTCAAACCACATCCGCAGAAGATGATGTGTTATTTGGCCCTTTATTGCAAGTGAGACAAGAAACAGCGGAGAAGCATAATCAGAGACACCAAATCCAGGTACCTGTAAGAGAGTTAGCACAGTATTCACATATTAATTAGGCTCTTCCTAGTAGACAGAGGAATTAAAGAAACCTGTGAGGCGAAGCGGCACAGGCTACAGCATCGACCAGTCTGCCTACGATCCTTTAAAAAACAAGAATCTGATCATAGCTTCTCTTCTTCCAGTCCCTTCATGCTTAACCACCAAATTAGCATCAGTTTCACTTTGCACCAGTACATTTTTCAGCAGCTTCTCCCAAGAAAAGTGCCTCTATCACTGCCTGCGCAAGCCACGGGGGATGTCAGCAGCGAGATCACCTCCACATTCAGCTGCCCATCACCGCACAGTTTTCCGAGCTGGGGCTCCTGGTGCAGAGCAGAATAGCTCACTCTGCTTTTAGATGTGCTGCTTTCACACAGGAGCAGCATGAACAGACTGGAACCTGGATATAAAAGACCATTCTGACATCAGCTGGTTAAAAAAAGAAAGGAGGAAGATGTTGAGAAGTATCCATCTTTCAGTGAATCTCAACAAGAAACGCTCTTTGGGGACATCTGCTTGTGTTTTCTGCTTGAGACAACCCTCAGTTTCGTTTTCCTGAACGAAGCAGGTGAAAGCATATGGGTAAACAAAAGTGTAATTGAATGCCACAGTCATAAAGGGTGATATTTATTTTTATAAATGGTGATTTTTTTTTTTTTTTTTGAGAACTCAGCATGATGGGAGTGGTAATGCAAATCTTGGGCCCTGCAACAGCAGACCCATGAGTGTACAAGCAGCCTGTGAATACACCCTGCAAAACCAAGAGCGAAAACCAAACATCACATGGTTTAGCAGTTTATCAGCTAAACCATGATGTGAGTGAAGACTCCGGGTTTCACAGCCTGAGGGACAGCACAGCACTTTTCTGCATCTATGGAGCCTTTTCCCATTTCTGTGGCCCGACAAAACATGAGCGAGAAAAATGAACGGCTGACATTTTCCAAGGCAAAACAGCAAAGGCCTACAGGGGGAAAAGGAGGGGAAACCAGGAAACTCAGTCCTTTCTTCTTTCTGCTAAACGAAAAGGGCTTACACTTGAGCAATGACCTTCAACCCAAAGGTACCTGCTGCTCCCAAACGCTCCCTCCGGCACCTCCGCGGGCTTTGCGCTGCTGACCCAGGGGCTCCCCAGGCTGCAGCTCCCCAGACCCCCACCCCGCACGCAGGGGAGAGGCACGGCTGTTCAGATGAGAGCTTTCTTGTCCCAGGAGCTCACAGGCCGTCGTATTTCAAGTCCTTTTCTTTCCTTTTTTTTTTTTTTTTTTCTATTTACATTTTCCACGCACACTTCTAAAACAGCAGGAGGCAACACCACAACAGCTGCACAGCATTTTTCCAGAGTGCCTTAAGTCCCCCTACCGAGGCACACTTTTGTTTATCAATTTCTCAATCCTGGATGACATCTTGACCTTAAACAATACCAAATCCTCCAGGATTTGCAGCGTGGGTCCCCCTGCAACCTCGGAACAGCCTGTTACCTTCACACCACTGCCCTGCAGCAGCTCTACAGCAGTGGACGTACCCACGGGCGCATCCTTTTGCACTGCAGTGGCACACGCAGACACGGAGTCACGGCTTGGCGTGCCAGGCACCCTGCGAAGTGCAGAGCACAGACAGATCCTCTCCCTTCCAGTTTACAATCAGATCAAAACAGAAAGCTAAAACAGCGCTAGCGGACAGATTGCAGCTCCCCAATCAGCGTGACTCAGGGACCAGCAAGAGGAAGAGCAGGCAAAGCTTCCACGGGCCCCGCTCCGCACGGCCACGCTGCCTTTGGCAGCGGTCCATGGTGGGACGGAGCGGTCGTCGCTCGGCAGGGGCCAGCTCGGCACCCGGCACAGCTGGGGACTGCTGCTGGTCACAAAGCAATGACTTCACTTTCTTGATTCCCCGTCCACAAGCCACAACAGTGCGTGCAATGAGCAGATTAACACATCTACCAGGGGGTTTGTGGGGTGCTATTCCCTTGTCTCCTGAATGGAAATATGGGGAATCAGAAAATTATTCAGTCCTGATGCAGGGAGACGCAGCTGAGCAGAGAAAGGACCGAATGAGATCTGGCTGTGGATTAAGCCCAAGGGGAGCAGGCTGGTCCCACGTACAGGCTCACGCATGCTGGCACCCCGAGCAGCCACGCTGCGAGCCACAGGCGTTGCCTGGCCCCTCTCAGACCAGGCAGGACAAGTCGAAGTGCCCACAAACCCACAGAACAGAGAGGTCTGCCTCAGGGTCCAGCACACGCAGGGTCCCTACCCCAACCCCACAACTGCGTGATGCTGAGGGGACCTTCCCCAAACACCCAGCACTGCAAGATTACAGAGGCACTGGTAGTTTTATTGTCATTTCACAAGTAAACTGAGTCATGGAGCAGTTGAGTACTTGTCTAGAGACCTTCAGGTAAACGGTGTCAGAAGCCAAATTCAGCTGCTTTGTCCAAGCAGGCACTCCCTGGGGCTTGGCCCAGTTTTTAGATCAATGCAGGAAAATCTGGCAAATCACCTCTCTCAGGAAATCCTACCCCAGCTCTGAATCCTGGCTCAACAAACGCCACTCGACATTGGCAAAGAAACAGCAGCAAGTACAGACTCAGGTTTCCACGACGAAAACATTTCTTTCACTGAGCTCGGCAGCTGAGGGATAGTAACAGCAACAGCACACCTGACGTTTGAAAAGCACCTCCATGGTGCTAGCAACATTCAAAACAGACGTTATCACACACAGAAATATTATCTTTCCCCTACTCCCAGGCTAAGGGCTGTTAGATCTATCACAGCATCAATGAATGAGCCTGCACTTTGCAGTCTACTAAGAGATGGCCCAAGAGAGGTAATGAGACCAGATTTGAGGTTGTCTAACAACAGTCAGGGGATGCTGAGCATAGTTAAGTCTCAGCAGAGGGCTCAGGCGCAGCAAGCGTGACCTTGTGGGTGCCTTTGGCACTGGAGATGAACGGAAGCATGCTTGCACCTGGGGCTGGCCAGTGGAGATCTCAACACCTCTCAGGCTAAAACTGTCGCATCTAAACGCCACCTAATCTCAAGCAGATTTGCAAAGTGCAAGCACACACGCAACTCTCAAGGTCTCCAGTTAATCATAAGCATGTGCTTAAAATTCCAGATCCCCATTGTGGAGCACTTAATAACAGGCTGGGAGAAGAACAAAGGAAGAAAAAAACCCCAAACCCTACAGAGATAATTTTAGATGTGGGGTTTATGTGTATTTATCACTCGTCTTGCAATAGTAACCTGCTGTGCTTCAGCTTCTCTACTACCTCTGGCTCCAGTCCACGCTGGTGGTGGTCCACGGGCAGTCAAACAGGACACGCCTCAGGTGGTGTGAGCAATTCTGCCTTCGCTAGGCCTGCGCAGGGCGGGCAATAGTGTCGCCCCTGCTGTGGCAGCCCTACCGAACGGTGAGAGGTAACACTGCGATGCCTAACACTGCTCTTCCCTCCAGCAACATGTCGGCCAGTCATCTCCAGTTGCTCCATGCTAGCAACATCAAGCTCCCTGCCCACGCTGCAGTCTCCCCCAGTAAAAACTTCATGCTAAAAAAACAGCCAACAAACAATTCCCAGCCTCCTTTTAAACCGATCTCCTAAGAAGGCCGAGAATTTTCCCAGACACTCAAGCCTTTATTCGTATCCCTCCCGGCTCCCAGCTGCACTCCAGGCAGGCAAAAACGTCACCGAAGAAACCAGATATGGAGTCACAACCAAGACATGCCAAATAAAAATGAAAGCCACTTTACATTAGAGGCAAGACGACCCAAAAGCTGAGGTTCTCTCCTTTGGGGCTAACTAAAGGTTACGCTGCCTGAAGCAATGCCTTTCTTGAAAGCTTTTGGACCCATTTTTAAGAGCTATTCATAAGCCTCGAGACCAGTGAGCCCACTGTGAAGTACAATTGTCAGCATCTCAGGAAAATAAAATTTTTTTACAAAAAAATCACTGGTCCAGTGTGTTTCAGTGTCCCATGTGCCCCAGGCTGGTCTCGGGGAAGAAAACACTTCGCTGCACACCCGTACAAATCCAGCGTGCTGAACACGCACAGTGGTCACTGACCCAGGAGAAGGTGGACAGGGAATCAAGTGAGAAAGTAAAACTCCTTTTAAGGGAGGAACTCCCTAGGCAAACTCCTTCACTGCTTTCCTGGATCCAAGCTACTGGTGCCACAGTGGTGGTTTGATCCCCGTGGCACACCTCGTACTGGTTTCCCAGCCACACGCCAGACACCGAGCGCTCCCAGCAGCAAGCCAGGAGCAGGGATCTGCACACTTGACATACTCCCCTTCCGCACCCGCCTGCTCGCTTTAGCGTTTGTGAGCAAACAGCTGAACTGCAGGCACTGCCTTCAGCTTTGCTTCAGTCTCAGCAGCCTCTCCTCCTTTAAAAAAAAAAAAAAAAAACCAACAAAAAACAAACCCACAAAACATAAAATAAAAATCCTACACACATCTACAGAATCAAATGATTTGGCACAGGCTTAAAACATCAGTTTTTGCTGACTTTCAAAGCTTCTCATCTTTTCTTATAGGACATACATCCAAGATGGCACATTCACAACCTGTGAATGCAACATCAGTTTTAATTTTCTGCAAACAAACTGACTGTTTCTGGCTTAAATTCCTCTCTGACTTTTTACACTAAAAGCAAAATTCCCACATGCTCCCTTTTCTTAAGCTGCTATTTAACGATTTCCACATAACATTTAAGAAGCATGATTAATTAATTGTGAGGTACTTCTTAATTAAGAAAGGATTAAACATGCATTTTGTCCCTATCACAAGCCCTGGATGAGAGTTTACAAAGGAGGAAAACAGGATTTGCCGGGCATTATGCACACAATGTTTTGCAAACATGAATGTTGCCTTTGAGAATAAGGAAAGTTGGTTAAAACAGAGAAAACTCTGGAACCAAAAATGAGAGACATTTCCTCCAAAATGACCCTAAAGGATGAGAAAGTTCAGCTTTTCGTCAGCCTCAGAATTCCATCCCCCATGAGCTATTCAAAACCAAGAAAGCAAAGTCCAAAACACAAACATAACTTTTCCTTCAGTCTGTTCAAAAAGAACACAAAACACAAACAAGAACACATCAGACTACCCCAGTTTGTTTCTTTTCAAAATTATTTATTCAGAAGGTGCTGAGCCTTTTAATTTAATGGAACTTCTCAATTAACTCTGACAAGAGACTAATCTTATCACCTTATCTAGTAAGAGACTTTCCCAAGTTCATCCAAGGCAGCAGATGCATCCCCAGCTTGCACTCAACAGATCTGACCAGCAGGACCTCTCCCCTGCCCACCATCCTACCACCAGGAAGAGGAGGAGACACCTGGGAAATACAAAAGGCTGTGGGACAAAGCCAAGAGAGAAATCGAGCGTCTGCCCCTAAGGAGTGGCATGGAAAAGGTTTGGGGCAGTTTAAAAGAAATGTTGAAGAGGGGAAAAAGGATCTGGATCCCTTTTAAAAAAGCCATGCTGGATATCAGCCACCAAGATTATTTGTTTTAGTTACCACTTAAAATAAACACAGCTAATTCCCACATATGCTTCCAGAATTTATTGCCCGATGACAATAAATACTATTATTTAGTATATTTTTAGACAAGGGAACAGAGATATAATGGGAACCCCAGAGTTTTGGTCACCACTGTATGCTTTTTCCCAGTCTGCCTTATGCAACCATCTGACAGCATCTCCACAAACAGCACTTCCAGCTACTGGACAAGTCTCCTTGTGATACTGGCTGGAAGACACCAGAAAGAGAAGTTTTACATACCACGGCCATTCAGCTCAGAGAGCTACACCAGAGCCATCGTGCTAATAAGCTAACTGCTGGATATCCTATTAATGCAGAAAGCCTGGAAGTGTATTAGCACGGAATACCTTTAATCTGAGGACTCAAGGCAATGGAAAAAAAGAAAAGAAAACCTCTCTGAAAAACACATATAGCAAAAAGACAAGCTGAAAGGAATGAAAATATGCATGAAAACACAGAATCAATCTGCATTCATGAACATGAGCTGGGAACACCTTTGCTGCAGAAGACGGGGCAAGGAGAGGGTTCCTGGGCAGCCGGCTCTGGCGGCCCTTCCTCAGGCCTCCCTCTTACCGCAGCAGAGCTGAAAGCCAGGATCAACTTGGATTAGGATCCAAGGCCCGGACCAGCCTGCTGTCAGGCCCAGAGACCCAGCGCTGCCCCGAGCTGCCCCGCACCTGCAGGAACACAGCCACTATTTAACGCAGCGCCGTCGGTCTCCTCTCCCAGCGACCAACCTGAGCCACGCAGGCTGCTGCTGCGGGAAGGTTTGGTTTTTCAGCATGAGCCACACGAGCTCTGGGAACACGCTCCAGGCCAGCCTGCAGCTGAAGGCATGCCTGGACAGTCCTTCGCAGGCAGACGTGAACTCAGCCGAGCAGAAGCCGAGGGACGTGTCCTGCCTCTCTGTTACAGCAAGCACCAGCCACAACACCCGCTGCCTGTGGAGGCTCCGGATGCATTCCCTGCGTGTTTCCTTGCACACGTAAGGT